GTTTTGTTTATCTTCTCTGTTAACTTCTCCTTACAGCGCGTTTAGTGCATTTACTGTCGTGTAAAGTTCTTTTTAACGTAAATGCATTTGAGTCCAAAAAAAGGGCTTGATTTAAACATGCGTAGCTCAGCAGTGGCAGCAGTAGTGGCAGCAGTAGCGTCCCTGGGCGTGGCAGGCCCACGGGTGGGGAATCCGGGTAACTCGGACTCCCTCCCTGAAGTAGGACACGCCAGCTCTCCAGACCCCCGGCGGAGAGCTCCAGCCGTCCAGCCCCATCTTTACCTGCCCTGCCTCTCAGGAGGTTCTCGTAAAGATCCAGCCGAAGTCCTTCATGCTTCCATTCAAGCTCACGTCGGCCACATGGCCCGTCCTTCCGAACGGGGCCCCAGCCGCTGCCCAGCCTCCACCCGCACAGTCGTCACCCCGCTCCGCCAGACGCCAGCATCGGGGCTGGCCGTGGCGTCTCGCACCCCTCCCCGCCGTGCGCTGACTCCCGCTCCTCCGCTGAGACCCCCCCCCACACACACTGCGGCTCACAGACCAAGGCCTGGGTTTTCGGTCTGTGTTCGCAGCCTCCAGCACAAGACACAGCTCGGGCACAGCGTCATTGATCTCTGTTGGACCGAGTGAGCAGACTGTAGCTTCCCCACCTCCTCCACTTGGTGGACCAAGAGTCCAGTCCTGACGCTGAGATTCCGGTCCCTGCTGGTGTATAGAACTACCTGAGTGCCTTGTCTTGGCCCGCAAGCTGGAGGGGAAGGCTTGTGTTCTCTCCCCATCTGCCCACTCACTTGTGATGCCTGCTGGGATCCCGGGAATGGGAGATAAAACTGAACTAACAGGCCCAGAACGATGCATGCAGACGGGACCCAAACACTCAGGGGCCGTGGGGCTTCATCTGCAGCCTCAGTCCGGCGCCCACATGCTACCTCTGCCGCAGGAGCCCTGCTGCCGCGCAGCTGACATCAGGGACTTCTGAGGGGTCCAGAGGTCACGGCGACTCGACTGACCCACTGGGAACCGGGTCAGCAGCAGGCACCACCCGCGACTGACCCCACTGGAGACCCGGGTCAGCTCCAGGCACCACCAGCGCCTGGCAGTAACCCTCGGTCAGTCTGTTTCTCCATCAGACTTTGATCAGGCGACAGGAAGTGACATAACTGGCCCGTCTTGTTTTTTTCAGAATCCCTAGTATTTCCCCAGAATGAATCAAACAGTGTCCTTCCCGATTCCCACGAACCCAGGGTAGGAAATCATTCTGAGACTAGAGGGGCAGAGTGAGCGAGTGGGTGGGAAACACAAGGCAACAACTTGTAGCTCACAAATGACCCTCTATATTTCTCAGTCTATCAGAGCTTTTCATCTAGTTGTACTGACTACAGAATCCTTTAAAGGTTTGCAGAATAATTATAACAGGGTTAGAGTTTCTCAGTACTTTAAAAAATTACAATTTCCAATTCTGTAGATTATACATCTTAATCATTTCAGAAATAAAAATAAAGGAAAACTTAGAAAGGTCAGCATTTAACAAGTTATCTGTGAGATGCAACTTTCCTTCTGGGACTAAAGGGGGGAAAAATGTGTTCAGGGAAAAGAAGTTTTCTGCTGGAGAGACTGAATATAAAACTTTAAACATTTTAGCAAATCAGATATTTAACCCAAATTTGATTTTTAATCAGAAGCTATGGGCATCCTAAAAAAGGGGAAATAATATCAAATTTAAAATAAAGAAAAAAAGAAATTTAACTGGTGACATTAAGTATTCACTAAGCGGTGCAAACGCACCGTTATCGACAATGTAAACCGCAGTGGAAATTGATATCCTGCTATCATCACGGCCATTTCCCAGTACACCGACTCCCCGACTGCGGCGGCCTCCTCAGTCTGTGCGTGGGGACTCGCGGGCGGAGTCGCTGTGGGAAGCGCCTCGGGTACAGGGGCCTCCAGGAAGTGCGCTGCTGGGATGATTCTTCCTGGCGGAGGAGGGAGAGGAGTTACCGCCACATGGAACAAACACTGCCAGCCCCCAAATCCAGCAGACCCAGGAGGCCCCCACAGGGACCTTGGGAAGTGCCAGCCAGTGGCCTGGAGCACCGTGTCCCCCAGTACGCAGGCGATCCTGCAAAGGGGGCTCCCCCACAAGCATCCTGCTGAATTCCCCCAGACCAGCAGGGAGCCGCCTGAGCGGGACCACCTGGGCAGGACTGGACATCTCCCCCGGTCACCCAGGTGCCACGATGCACTAGCTGCGAAGCCTGGCTTCCTCTTCTCTGGGAGAATGAGGAGCTACACCAAACGGACCAGGAGGAGAGCAAGCTTCAGGCGCCCCGGATCCCGTAGGTGATGAGCTGACCCAGCATCCAGCAGGACCAGCGTGCCGCCCCACTGGCAGGGAACCCCAAAGTGGCTGCCTAACCCAAGTGGCCGGCACACGGGTCGGGAGCCGAGCCCGGGCTCGGGACTGCACACGGCTGGCTGCAGACAGGTGGGCCCTGGAAGGGGCGCTGCGCAGCCTGCACGAACTGCCCACACTCACAACCAGGAGGGGTCGTGTAAAAATTCTTTACAGGTCGGCAGATGTGGCAACACCCGGCCTGCACCTGACGTGGCCGAGGAGCACTTTCACCCGGGGCCCCGCAGCTCCCCGTTGCCCCTCCTCTGGCATTTGTACTGCCCGCCTGGCTCCTGACAGCAGGTCAACTCGTGACTTCTGCCTGATGTGCGTCAGCTCTGACCCTCACCACAACCCCGCGAGGAGGAGACCCTCCCGTGCTAATAGAGAGAACTCTGAGGTCAGGTCACACGACAGTGAGCAGCAAAGGCAGGGCTAGAACTCGGAGCTGTCTGAATTCAAATGTCTGCTTTTTCTAGTGCCAGCTGCCTCTTGGCCGGAATCCTGCATTCCTGAGTCTCTGGGGACCCTACGGCGTCCCGAAGAGCAGGTGGGAAAGGGCCCGAGGACGGGAAGAGGAAGGGGAGTGGACAAGGTGCAAAGGCAAACGGCCAGTGTCCTCAGGACAGCCCTGAGCCCGGGCACAGACCCTCACCACCACCCGGAGAGCCCAGGACAACAGGGCAGCGTCGGCAGAGGAGGGACAGGAGAACGACAAAGAGAGCGCGTCAGACACAAGGAAAAACTAAGCAGCCGAGGACAGGACAGGAGCCAGAGACGTGCTGCAGCCCTGCCGAAAGGAAGAAAAGCCCAAACCCAATGCGTGCCGGAGACTTGCAACAGGACACCCGCAGCGCTGAGTGGGGAGGGGGCTGGCCGAGAGCGCAGGGTGCGTGGTCCAGAGTCCTGGGTACCCACCCTGTCCGGGTCTGTAAACGGGGGAAAGCACGTAACGGTGACTCAGGGACGATGATGGGTAGCTGTCCAGGTAAAACTCAAGTTAGATCTCCATCTTGCCCTTTGCATCAAAATACAGTCTAAATGGATTAAGGTTGGAAACATAGACATTTAAAACTGTAAAAGTACTGGAAGAAAGCACGTGAAAAAATATATATAATCTTAAAAGTAAAAAAATACCTAGGTAAGATACCAAACCCAGAAACAAGAGAGAAAGAAAGACTGACCATTTCAACATAAAAGTCAGACATTTCTGCATGGGAAAAAGAAGTCATAAAACCCAAAGATAAGTGGGGAGAGAAGCCTAAAATGCGCCTTCCCCTCAGAGGATGTGCTCCTCAATGTTTAAAAAGTTCCTTTAGATTGGCAACAAAGAGCAACACGCCAGTGGGAGTGGGAAGCAGTAGCAACAGTGCCCATGCAGCACCCCAGCACCTCCTCTTGGCTCCTCAGTGTTTAAAAAGTTTCTGTAAATTGGCAACAGGGACTTCCCCCTGTGGTCCAGCGGCTTAGACGCCGTACTCCCGATGCAGGGGGCCCCAGTTCGATCCCTGGTCAGGGAACTAGATCCCGCGTGCATGCCGCAGCTAAAGACCTGGCGCAGCCAAATAAATAAATAGAATATGGAAAAAATAGATTAGATGAATAAATAAATAAATTGGCAACAAAGAGCAACAATCCACTTGGAAGGAGACATGGTATGAACAGTCCCGTGCACGCACCCTCAGCACCTACCCCTGGCTTCGTTAAGTTGGCAACAACGAGCAACAGTCCAGTCAGAAGGGAAAGCAGTATCAATGGCAACCCTCTGGCCTCCATCCCACCCTTGCAGGGCAGTCGGGGAGGCCAGGTCAGAAGCAAACAGTGCACGGTGCGTGAGTTTCACGGACAGGTGGAGGGTGCTAAGTGTCCTGGGGAAACAGGGCAGGAAAAGAAGGCTCGGAACGTATGGGAGGCGGGCGGGCTGCAGCCGTGATCGAGCTGTCCGGATGGGCCTCACTGAGAGGAGATATTTGAGCCAGGACTCAGAGAGGGCTGGCAGTTAACCCCTGGACAAGCAGGCCGGGCAGGGGGAGGGGCTGGGGCAGAGGCCTTGCAGGGTGGCAGGGGTCCAAGGACCAACAGGGAGGCCAGGTGGCTGGGGGGCGTCAGACAGGAAGCAAGCAACTCACATCAGAGTGAGATGCCCTCCTCGCCCACAGCAAGAGGCAGCGTGAGTGCCCTCCTCGCCCACAGCAGGAGGCAGCGTGAGTGCCCTCCTCGCCCACAGCAGGAGGCAGCTTGAGACTACACCGAGACCTGGTTTTCACCTAGCGGGCTGACAAAATGGCGCTGGGCACAGGAAAGGAGCTTCTGCGCAGGGAGTCCTCGCGCTGCCAGCCCCATTAAACGCACGGGCTCCTGGAGCCCCTAGCAAGCCTGCCGGGCTGCCCATGTAGAGATGAGGGGCATCAGGTCACAGAACTGGGAGGGGGCCAGCGTTCACGGTCGAGAGACTCCCCTGCCTGGTGCTGGGAGGTCATGGTTGTCGTTCACAGCCCGACACCCCCGACTTTATCTTGGCTCGTTTTGCTGGACCTAGGTCATCGGGCAACTTTCTGCAGAGTCAGCTGCCCTGTTTCCTCCCTAACCTTGTCCTCTCTTCTCCCAGGGGCCCAGATCATTGACCTGATGATGCTGGTCATTGACGTGACCAAGGGGATGCAGACCCAGTCGGCTGAGTGCCTTGTGATTGGGCAGATCGCCTGCCAGAAGCTGGTCGTGGTGCTGAACAAGACAGACCTCCTACCCGAAGGGAAGAGACAGGCGGCCATTGATAAGATGACCAAGAAGATGCAGAAGACCCTAGAGAACACCAAGTAGGTTTGCTGATGAGAGGGCGTCAGGGCGCACCTGCTTCCGCCGACCCGGATGGGGCAGGCAGGGTCCCGCCGGGCGCTTGCTCGCATCCCGGGTGGAGGCTGCAGTGCTGTTGCAAGAGGCCAGAAGAGCCAGGAGCACAAAGAAGCCACAAGTGGGTCATAGGAAGGGCGGTCCAGCTCTGCACCACGTTCGGAATCCCAGGCTGCCGGTGTCTTGCCGGCTCACCGCCGTGGGGTGTATCCTGCGGGAGCAGTCAGAGCCGGGCACCGCCCGGACAGGTCCAGGTGTCAGCCCCACGCCCCCCGCACCCCTCCCCATCCTGTCGGTGAGGACTCAGTCCTGCCTGCTTACCACCCACTTAGCTGCACCTCGGTTATCGAAAGGGAGAGGTGCGTTTGGGTGATGAGTGGATATCTGTCCCAGAGACTTATAAAGTCGGACGGATGGATGGACCGGTGGATGGACGGATGGAGAGGACACAGAGAAAGGCCAGATCACATGGCCTGTAGTATTTCATGCCAAGGGGTTATGATTTCATCTTGTGGGAAGTAGGGGCGGGGGGGTGGGGGGAGTCCAGAGGGCAGCAGGGAGCCGACAGGGAGAGGACAGCAGGGCGGCCCGGGAGGTCTAGAGCAGGAGGCCCTCCAGCCCTGTCGAGCTCCTGCCGCTTACCGTGGAGGTCTGCGGGGGCAGGAGGGTGACGGTGCTCCCGGGCAGGGCGTGGGGGAGGGGTGTGGGGACCGCGGGGCAGAAAGCCACCTGGGCACTCGGGCGGCCGTGGGCACGACTTGTTCCCACGTGGTCAGGAAAACGAGAAGGCACTCTGCTGAGCGCACGGTGTCGGCAAACCTTGCTCTATTGGCTCCTCTCCTCCCCCCGGGCCAGCGCCTTTTGATCGATACTAAATAGCAGTCACTGGGCAACAGGGCTGCTTCCTCTTTGCTCCGCAGCCCGAGACAATATCCTGCCTTGGCCACCTCTCCTTCTCCTGCCTGTGGAGGGCACGCAAGTGGAAATGGTTTTGTTTCCCCGTCATAAAGATTGATATGCCTTCCCATTTATGATTTTTTTTTTCAGATCTAACACCTGCAGCTCTCCCTCAGAATTCTCAAGTTGGTTAAATTAAAGCTTCAGCCCTGAGAATGGGCCAAATATGTCATAAAAGATTTCCTAGTGCTGCTTTTGTTAGCAAAATTCATCAATCTGATAAAATCGACACATTTAGATAAGTGTTGCATAAGAATTCAGACTTTGTTATTCCCAGCGGAAGTGGATATGAGACTGTAAAAAGGAAGATAAAAAATTGTATCTTCTTTTTAGTGAGTTATTTGATCTCCCTGCCATTTTATTTACTTGTCAGAAAGGGGAGACCAGGTCCTTTGGACTCCTGCATAAAAGCCCAGCACAATGTCAGTGTCATTTGCTATAAATGAGACCTTCTGGGAAGGGCTTAGGATACTATTAAGGGTAAATTAATATCACCTATTTCGATCAGTTAAATTTAAGGAAAATTCTCACTTACGTGTTTAAATTACTATTCCTATTTTAATTTATTGGTTGAAGGTCAAATCACAGCGTTTCTCACACATCCAGAGGATATGGGCCACCGAAGGGCCTTTGACACCTCTGCTCTCCTCATTCAGCGCGCACCGGGCTGGAAAAGCTCCAGTAAGGAAAGCTTAGTGGGCCAATGGGCCTGGGCCAGCCAAGGCAGTCACCTCTTAGGAGAACTTAGCTGTTACCTCCGTGCAGCGAGAACTTCTTTAAATCATTTTAAAAGTGACGATTTCCTTTTCTTATGGTGCCTTGTTAGGTAAATCCTTTGTAAATGCTGGTCCAAATATGAAGAAACTTTTTATCTAGAAAGGAGAAATTTAGACTGCTGAGCTATGTACGTATCAAAACCTAAGAAGTGTTAAAAAAAACAAAACTTTTTTTTTTTCCTATCCAAAGAGTCATCGAAAGAACCTTTGGAAAATAGAGAAAAGGAGTTAAAAGAAAGTGGAGACCACCCAAAGGTTTCTCAGAAGAGCAGCTGCTGACCTTTTGGTTTACTCCATTCCTGTCTTTTCACCGTGCATAGTATCACCCCCACCCTTTCTTCCACATTCAAAAAATCGTAGTAAAATATACATAACATAATGTTTATTATTTTATCCATCTGTAAAGTTACAATTAAGTGGCATTAAATACCTTCACAAAGCTGTGTACCCATCACCACTGTCTGTAACCTAATCCTTTTTCATAATCCCCAACATAAACTCTGTCCCCACTGACCAGTCACTCCTCCCCCCTCCTCCCCCAGGCCCTGGTAACCTCTGTTCTGCTTTCTGTCTCTGTGAATTTGACTGTTCTGGGGACCTCATATAAATGGAATCATGCAATATTTGGCCTTCTGCGTCTGGTTTGTTTCACTTAGCGTAATGCATCCGTGTTGTAGCGTGTGTCAGAATCTCACTCCTTTTTTTAGCCAGATAGTATTCTATTGTGTGTGTAGGCCGTATTTTGCTGATCCATTCATCTCTTGATGGACACTTGGGTTGTTTTCTTTTGGCTGTTGTGAGTGATGCTTCTATGAACATTGGTGTACAAATGTCTATTCCAGCCCCTGCTCCAGTTCCTTTGGGTGTGTGCCTAGGAGTGGGATTCCTGGATCACATGGTGACTCTACCTTTAACTTTGGAGGAGCCTCCATACTGTTTTCCACGGTGGCCGCACCGTTTTATGTCCCCGTCAGCAGTGCCTCAGGGCTCCGATTTCTCTACATCCTCGCCAGCACTTGCTGTTTTCCTTTTTTCTCATCGCCATCCTAGTAGGTATGAGGTGGTACCTCACTGTGGTCTGGGTGCGTTTCCCTAGTGACTGATGTTGAGCATCTCTTCATGTGCTTATTGGCTACCGCATGTCTTCTTTGGAGAAACGGCTATCGAGTCCTTTGCCCATTTTTTAGTCACGTTGTTTTTGTTCTTGAGCTGAAGGAGTTCTTTATCTATTCTGGACATTAATCCCTTGTCAGATTTGCAAATGTTTTCTTCCATTCTGTACGTTGTCTTTTCACTTTCTTGACAGTATTCCTTAATGCACAAAAGTTTTAAATTTTGATAAAATCCAATCTTTTTTCTTTTGTTTCTTTCTTTTCTTTTCTTTTCTTTTTTTGCCTGTGCTTTTGGTGTCATAGTCCTGAAATTATTGCCAAATTCAACGTCGTGAAGATTTTCCCCAATTTTTTTCCTCAGAATTTTACTGTGTTAGCTCTTAAGTTGAGGTCTTTGATCCATTTTTAGCTATTTTTTTATGTATGGTATATGTTAAAGGCCCACCTCCATTCATCCGAGGATATCCAGTTTTCCTAGCACCATTTGTGGAAGACTGTCCTTTTCCCTTTTGTCCTTGTCAAAAATCAATTGACCAAATATACGTGGGTTCCACTGGTCTCTGTCTGTCCTTATGCCAGTACTGCGCTGTTTCACTTACTGTCCCTTTGGGGAAAGTTTCCATTGGGAAGCTGAGTCCTCCAACTTTCTGCTTCTTTTTCAAGATTATTTTGGCCATTTGGGCTCCTTGCAGTTCCCTCCCATTGGAATGTGAGGATCTGCTTTTCCATTCCAGCTTAGAAAGTGACGGTTGGAATTTTAATAGGGACTGCATTGAATCTGTAGATGGTTTTAGGTAGCATGGACATCGTAACAGGAGTAAGTCTTCCGATTCATTGACACAGATGTCTTTCTATTTATTTAGATTTTTAAAAATTTCTTTTATACAGATTTTGTAGTTTTTGGTGTACAAACCTTACATGTCCTTGGTTAAATTTATTCCTAAGTGTTTAATTCTTTTAGATGCTATTATAAGGTCAACTTTGCTGAATTCAGTTCCCCCTCTTTAAACGTATAATTGTAATCATGAAGTATTTACATTTTTGATTTCTGCTTTTATTACTTAACATTATATAGAGCAGTTCTTCATGTAACCATCACCCTGTTCCTGACCCTTTGAAATGGCTTAAGTTTTCCTTCTTGTAAATAAATAGTCCTGGGTGAACGTCTTTGACCATCATTAAACTTTGTCTGTATTTTCGGTTTTTCCTCTTGAGAGAGCCCCAGGTATGGGGTCACTAGGTCAAAGGGAAGGAGCCCTTCAGAACCTTTTGTGCATCTCTGTGTTCTTTTCCATTTTACACAGGTGCCAGCGGTGAGCTCTAGTATCTAATTTAAAAATATATATGGGGACTTCCCTCGCGGTCCAGTGATTAGGACTTTGCCTTCCAATGCAGGGGGTGCGGGTTCAATCCCTGGTTGGGGAGCTAAGATCCCACGTGCCTCACGGCCAGAAAACCAAAAGATAGAACAGAAGCAGTATTGTAACAAATTCAATGAAGACTTTAAAAAAATATTTAAAAAAACACATATTTGAAACATTTAGGATAGAATGTTGTTTTACTCTTGTTATAATATGTGATTCTTTAATTACTGGTAAGACTGAACATTTTTCCTTAAGTGTATTAAGTAGTTGTGTTTTTGTGTGTTTAATTTGCGCCCATGTGTTTTGTCTGTTTGCCTCGTGATTTTTAATGCTTCTCTTTTTGGTATTCAGGAGTGTTTAATATTAATAAGGATGTTGTTATTAATTAACCCTTTGTCTATCATATTTCCTACAAATAAGTCTTTTGCATTTGTTGTTTGTCTTTCTGTTTTAGTTTTTTTTTTTTAACATGCAGAAGTTTCCAATTTTTATGTAGTCAAGTTCTTTGGTTTTCTTTGTGATTTCTTTATCTCTGAAAGCATTTAAAATTACTCTTGCATAAGCATTTATCCATGTTAACAGAAATAAAAAGAGAAGACAAAAAGGTACCCACAGTCTTCCCAACGCAGCGAATTAAAGTGTGTTTTCCCTCGGAGCCCTGTCAGTCTTTCCCACCTGTGTGTAGCTTGAGGTAGTTGTTATTACAGCCTTGACGTTGTTCTGTGTTCTAGGCTTTTTTGTTTATCTTTCCACTAAACGTTATTGTCTCACAGCACCCTGGGTGCATCTTTCTCCCAGACTCCCTCTGTGTCTCCTCCTGCCTTTAAACCCTTTCTTTTCCCTTGTTTATGTTTTAGCCACGGCCGTCTGCTTAGTGCCCACCTTCTCCCCGGGACTGGGTGGGATGCCAAATCCACGTGACCTGGCTCCTGCCAGCGGGCTCCTACAAGGTGTGCATTCCGTACCTGCTCTACGGCTGACTCACTTTCTCTCTCAGCGTTGGTATTTCTTCCTCTGTAAAGTGGGAGCTGGTAAGTCCAGCCTCACGGTGTTTATTATGAGGGAGCGTTTGACATTGGGGCCTGGCACATTGTAGGGGCTTAGTAACAACAGCTGTAACGTGCGGAGCACCTACTGTGTGCGTGGCCCTGTACTAGGGCTTTCCTGAGTGCAATCAGTCAGATGCTCACAGTTACCCCAGGCTTTTGTATCTGGCTTGACTGGTGAGAAAAATAAGGCATAATAAGTATCGCTGGTTTTTTTAGTATCACTATTTTGAATTCTCTTCCAAACCTAAAACATAGACTCTCTTTGTTTACATCTTTTACACGAGTTACACACACACACACACACACACACACACACACACACACAGATTCACGTGCACTTTTTTTTTTTTTTTTTTTTTTTTTTTACTGATGTGAGTTGTTTTTG